TATATTAAAAGAAAGACCATCCAACGATTGTTTTTGGTGTTTTCTTCCTCTCATTTCTCTTATAATCATAAAGTGTCTGCACTCCGGATACGGTAAGCATTCATAAAACTCTCTGACTAACTTGTATAGTCTCTTTGTATGCTTTATAGTTTCATAGCTCTTAAACATACCTGTTATTATTATTACATCTTTAAATAACATTTCATCTGGGAAGGAATATTCTTTAATGAAATAATAACAATTGAGTTCAAATTTGCTTAAACAGTGATATTCAAGTTCTTTACCCTCATCGTCCAAAGCGTTCATTAATCTCTGACATCTTTGGCAACACATATAATCGCTTATCTTTCTACTCAACCCTTCTTCTATCATAAATATGTCCTTAACAGTGTTTCTTTGTAATAAGCAGTTGTGACCCTCCCTTGCTCTAAATCCCCAAACCCTACGCCTTAAGCCTTAAGCCTTAAAATCTAAAATCGTAAACCCCAAAGGCCCTTTGTTGCAATTGTCGGCTGCTGGCTCATGTCAACAAACCAACCTGCTCCCCCCCCCAGAGACACTACAAAACACCGCTCGCGATTCTGTGTCGGCGCGCGAAACTTTAACACTGGTTTGGTCGACTCATCAGCACCACATTCAAAAGTAAGCAGGAGGAACAAAGCCCCTGACCATGCTTAGATACTGCTTTGCAGTCTTCTGTTTTCGCATCTCTGGATTCCGATGCTATACTTCCGGATTTCTGGATCCTTCGGTTAAGTTTTTTTTGCATACTTGCATTTCTCGGTCTACGAGTAGGTACTTGCGGATTGAACAGGGCCCGGATTTCACCGCAAACGCTGCCAAACAACAATCGACATATCAAGAAGTAAAACAAACAAACAAACAAACAAACAAACAAACAAACAAGACGCCAAACAACATGTACGTTCCTTCTGATCCATCGGTTCTGTTGATCGAGGTGGCGCGACCAGCCCAAATGTAATGCTAGGGACACGGACACCTGAGTGTTGGGCACATCAAGGCAAAGGCCGAGCGACAACAAAAAGGGAAACCCTGTGAAAACACACCAAACAAAAAACCAGCAGTGAGGCTTCTGTCGAAGGAACAAACCATTCAAAGAGGACACAAAGCACGGATTGTCTTTGACTGAACTATGACCCCACACGAGACATGCTGAGTCATTCGACGACCGGCCTCTCGAAGAACGTCAAGAGCAAAGGACCTCGCGGCATGGCCAGCTGCATGTTGTAGAACCTGGCTCGGGTCACAAGGCTGCAAAGATCTGCGAGAGTCTTTGCTCAATATTGATATACTGCCCAGGTCCCTGCCATTCGGCTTGGTGCATGTCTGGCGCAATACACCAAAAGCCGGCCAACCAAAGCTTGTCATGTCGCACGAAGCGCCAGACGCAGGCCAGCTGTGGGGGATTCCAGGCATTGTCGGCGCACCTCGCGAGACTGCGACAGGCACCCTCAAGCCAACGGAGCCAACCTACAGAGCACGCGTCTTCTCGCGACACTCGGTTTAGCAAAGACTTACTCTTTCTCTCGGTGGCCCTCGCACAAACTCTTCTGTCTCACTCGCCTCCCGAATGATGTCGTCAACCAAATGTGAGATGGGACTTTCTGGCGCCTGAGCTTTACCCCTCCCGGACGGACTAACACGTCTTGGAATGAAACCGTTGCAATAGCCACCGAGAAGCTTGGGATCTTTCTGCGAACGCTTCCTCAAAGAGCTTCACCTGCTGCCACATATGCCAAACATAACAAGCTTAGATTCATGCCACCAGGAATGAAGCTCGACGGTGAATACAGTCTACCAGGAATGAAGCTCGACGGTGCAAACAGTCTACCTTTTAATGCAGACAACATTCAGACTCAGACCTTGTTCAGACAGTCTGGATCAGACGTTATCCAAGTTACCTCTGCAGAGCTCCAACGTTTTGGCTCCACGGCATCCAGGGTCAAGAAATTACAGACCATGGCATGGACGGCTCGTCAAATCTGCAAACGCAGATCGCTGTGGAAGCGTGGAAGCTGGTCATCCCAATTCTGGCATCTTTTTGCGGCATCTTGTAGGGAATTTTGCTTACGAGTACCGCTTGCAATGAAGTCTCCTACTCCTCCAGATGCCTGGCTTGTGCCAGAAATGCCTTCAGCTCCCGCAAACAGCCTTTTCCTCTCATGATACATGATCTTAAGTTGTTAAATCTGAGAACTCCGCATGCAAACTTCTCTAGTCGTGCGCCAAGACATTTTTTGTTGGCAGCCGTGCCCTGACCCCAATGCTCACAGAAGTCATACAAATCAGGATGCTGAGGCACAAACGCTGGCGAGGACTAAGTCCCGGGAAGCGTCGCGCAAAGTCATTGGCGCGGATCTCAAGTTGTCTGCACTCCCAGCCTGGCGTCCAGCTCTAACTACTCACAGCCCACTTCAGGCTCGGGGGAAAACATTGGGGACGGCCTCAAAAATGCAGGACCAGCTAGCGACAAGAAATTTTCCATCCGTTCAACCCACCCATACGCTGAGGTAACTAGAGCTGCCGAATGGCCTAATTGAATATGCAAGGACGACGGCAGCAAACGATTGGACCGACGACTGACGGAGCCAGGCGAGGTTGCAGAGCCCAGGTCAATGCAAAGCTGCAGGGCAATCCACAGCTCAAGAGCATGCGTCATGCGCACACACACACACACACCAGGCTGATCGCGATCCAAAATGGTGCAAAGCCAAAGGAATGTGCATCATGCAACACCGACGAAGAACTAGGAGCAAGAGCGCATGCAACAAACAAGCCAGGCATGCTGATGAGCAAGCAGCTCATGGCCTGAGAGGGCTCGTGACAATCACAATCACGGCGCAAGCAAACAACGGCCCCAAACCCTCAAGAAAAAAGATGGAAACCTGAAACCTTGGAAGGCAAGCCAGGGAAGTCAATAAGGTTCGCTACTGGCAAGCTCCTGGTCAACGGAATCTGTCAGACGCCGCAATGGTTATTTGTTAAGTCCGCTTTGGTGTGGCGGGATCTCTGAACAATGCAGAAACACGCCCGGGCATCTGGCAAAGTACGCGCGCTGCGATCCCAAGAGGGTGGCGTAAGACCTGGATCTGCCGCAGAATCATCCGAGATGAACCCGCCTAACTCCAATGCATGAAGATGAAGTCAGCCATCTCCGTCGAATAACCAGGGCAGCTGCATGATTGTCATCACTGCTCTGTGCATGATGCCGTCCACGAGACGTAGCCTTGCAGAGAAGATTGATCCTGTGGGCACGGCCATAGAACAGAGCTGGCGCCTGCCCCAGGCAAAGTGATGAGCCAGTACAGCTGCAACGAAAACGGCCTCAGTTGGGCTATTACCAGTCGGTGCACGCAGCGGCATGTGACGTTGGTCCTGGTGCCTTAACACCTGCGTATCTCGACAGGGTCCCGGCACTGGCCGTTGCAGGATAAAGGATCCTTGGCATTTTCGAGAAAGTCATCTTCGGCTTTCCACCGGCAACGTCACTGAAGGCAACAAGCGGCAATCATTGGCCAAGGGAAGCAAATTGGACAACTTTGCGCTAGTCTGCCATTGCCTGTTTCAGCTGTCCTTCTCTACTCGCTGCTCCTCGACATCACATCTCAGCTTACAGACCGCCTGGGCATCCGAGCGCAAAGTAGAAGAGGTCGCGCCAGCTGCCGAGAACTACACGGCGCAGCCGCCATCTTCCAAAGTCTGGTGTCCAGGAGAAGAAGTAGGGCCTCAGACTCATCGATGTCCTCTCGGCCTAGCCTTCAAAGTGGTGCCTCGCCGAAACCTTTCGGCTTTTGCCACACTCTAGGAAGTGCTGAGATCCAAATCTATCGCACAACGGTGACTGAGCATCGTGTTTGCGCATTGCCACTGATCCGGTGGACGAATGAGCCAGCGGCCGCATTCGAAACACATCTACCTGTTTCAGATCGTGATCTTTCCAGTTCAGCTTTACACTGACCCTACGTAACGGAAACACTGTGCCTCGTCGTCCCGATTTCCAAGCAAGGCAGCCTGTGCAAAAGATTCGATTCCATGAACGAAAGCGGGCAGACAGAGGATGCAAGTGGACGAGATCTCCGTTGTGAAGCGGTGACATGCTTCTTGCTCTGCGGATACGGCTCACATTTCGCGAAACAGCCCTGAAAGAATCACCATGCAACAGGCTTCGGCTCGCAGACGCATGCATTGCCGCTTACTCATTTAGTTCTGGCTGTCGTTTTTTCTTTCTTACCCTCCTGCCTTCTGACCTACTTACCTACTTGCTTACTTACTTACTTGCTTGCTTGCTTACTTACTTACTTACGTACTTGCTTGCTGGCTTACTTGCTTACTCACCCACTCACTCAAGCAGTTGGCTCCTTTATGCTGTGGTTTGATGGCACATGTGGAGTGTCTGTATTCAGCAACAATGTCTTGGTGCACACAAACTTTGGCAAAAAGAACCCTTTCTGACTGCAAACAAACAGGCCCCGACCTTCGTGGCACAATGCCTGGTGTCCCAAACTTCTTCACAAGGTGTTGCTGGCTACATCGTGGGTATAGGAGTCTTTTTGGTGCAATGTTTGCGGAAGCGCCATGAAGGCGTCCCAGGAAACGATCGGAGGAAGTACATCCTCCATCCAGGTACATGTTCCGTTCTAGACATGTTGCACACACGCGCTCTCAGTGCACTGCGTTCCTTGCACCAGTTAACGTGGCACCCAAGTGCACAGTTCATGTCTCTTGCAGCCCTGCCTCCCAGTAGGACAGGAGCAAACATTCGATGGCTGACGTCTGACCAGGGCAGCAGACTTGAAATCGAAGACAGAGCGACACCGGAAACACAATACCCAAGTTGAGCGCAGTCTTTTTCCACTATATGTGCTGCTCCAAGACAAGCTGGGGTCCAGGCAACAAGAAGACCCAGCAGGGTCCAGCATGCGTAGCAAGAGAAAATTGGGCCGTGATCAACCTGCTCAGCTGTGCATCACAGGGCCATGTTAAAACACCGCCTTACAATCACATCGGAGTCACACGGATACAATGATACAATGCACGTGCAATGGCCCCACGAGAAGCGGCTCAAACTTACTCGCTTCCAGTCTGGAGAAGTGTTGCTGTACGATTTTACGGAATCGGAAAGACACCCAATTCTATGGAATTGGAAAGACGCCCAACGAATGTTTGTGAAAGAGCATGAACCCTGCGCCTGGCCTGCTCACCCTTGCACATGGCTTGCAGGCCTAAGACGCAACACGTGGTATGCCGTGCTGTGGCCCTTGCATGCCCCAGACTGTAGAGTCAAAGGCACAAGGCCCAGAAGCCAAACCCTAACAGGCCCTCATACACACACACACACACGCTGACTGCTGCCCAGTGACAAATCTCCTTTGGAGGCAGCTGGCACTTCTTTGGTGACAGCTGTGCATCCTGACTCCGGATCTCAACAATCGAGCCCAGAAACCAGGGGAACCTGGATCTCCGAAATCTCGTGCATGTGTCGGTCCGAGCCGTTCCGAGTTCCACACTGAACACAAGGGCTGAATCCAACACTGCCAACCCTATGAGGGCTTCGACGGCTTAGCTTCCACTAGGTTCGAACAGAAAATTATCTCAAAGTGCCTTCATGACACTCCACTTCCCCTTGCATCCAATCAGGTCAAAACATTGTCAAGCTCATGAATGGCAAGCCGTTGGTAAACCCATGCTGTCGGACTGAGTCACACAAGACCTGATTCAGTGCCAATTCGATCCGCATGAGAGTGCATCAATGGCCAAAGCCTCATCTTCCGGATTGTCGTTGGGATCATCCCCCGTGCCAACCTCAGAGGGCTTGTCGCTGGCATTCAGCCTGCCCCAGCTCGTGATTTTTGCCAACATGTTCCGGGGTTGCACCTGAGACTCCCTCCGCCTGCTCCAAGGACGCACCGATTAGAGATAGGCTCCGTTAAATTTCCCTCACACAGCCGCTGCTCTAGTACCCTTGCTGTATGTACGAAGAAACCTGTCCAGACTCCCAAGGCCCCTGCCGCCCGACTCCGAACTCGTCGCTGTACAGCCGAGGGTCGGCGAAGTGCAGGCACTGCCGGAAGCCTGCAGACACGAAGGGAGGCACTTCCGTGCTCCGAGTCCTCTCTTGATCCATCGGATGGCCGCATCGCCACTGTGTGTGGAAACGATGCTGTTCATGCCGAGAGCAGTCTGCCGTGCGCGGAGCATGTGCCCCAATGGCGGTAGTTGGAAGTCGCCCACTTGCGCCCCGAACGCCCTTTGTGAGTTGAGAGGGGAAGTGGAGCATTAGGCAACTGAATCTTCCACCGAGAATGTTTACAAAGCCAATAACCACGGCCTTCTCCTTCCGGGTACGTCTGGCTCTTCCTCACCTGATGCGCATCTCATTGCATTGGGCAAAGTCGGATCGACATGTGAGGACTTTATCACTAAGCTGTGTCGACTTTTGCTAAAAGCCTGCAGAGGTCTTCTTGCTCCGCATGCCAAATCTTGTTGACACACTGGGCACAGTACACAGCTTGAATTTTCAGGGACGACAAACGAGACATCCCCGTCCTGTTCAGATCAGCCTCTGCTGCCCTCCAAGCCCCCTCAGAACCCCCTCACAGACCCCCGCTGAAATCAAAACTTGGAACTAGACATGCACATCGTCATCCCAGCACCCTCCTGACACGACAAAACGACATCTTTCAACTGAAGTTGGCCTCAGAACAAGATAGCAGAAATCGATTCAACTACGAGCTGTGCAGCACCAAGACATAAGGATTCACGTGCAGTTCCGGGGCTCAGACCATGGGATTGATGTCTTGAGTCGGAACTGTCCTGGGGCACAAGACCGTGCCGACAGGGTTAACGCTTCAACGAACCTACAAAGACGCACTCTGTGTTTACAACATGAGCAAGGATTTGCAGTTGTCGAGACGCCTGTCGTACATGTTTTACTGACATGTTGCCGATCCTCGCCGTTGCTCGTCAGCTCTGGAGCGCTGTCCGACTCTTCAGGGAACGCCTGGCTCTGACACCCACGCTGACTTGCAACCCCTGTCTGTAGAATCTCGTTACGTCAAGAGCCAGCAGCTGAGCCTGCTTCGCAGCGGCAAAGTAGTGACGCCCGGCTCGGAAGCCAAGCAAAAACCCACAGTTTGTGGTGATATCCAGCAAGAAGATTGTCCTGCCATCTGCTGATGCCCCTCATCCCGAAGGGCTACAGTTAGCTGGTTTAGCCAAGTCGCCAGTTGATGAACTGCCCAGAACATATCTGGCTGTCCACGGACTTGTCGTCAACCTTCTCTTCACTGGTCATGTGGGAATGGAACTTGATGGCACTTCGGACCTGGCATGAGATCTGCAGCAGTGCTCTGCGAGCATCTGCGAGCGGAGGAAGAAAGAAGCGTGGCTGCCAGACCGTGCCAAGCACAGCTCGACCAAGCACAACAAGCGCCAAGCAAATGTATCGGCGGTATACAACGCCGCTATCCTCCACAAAATCGGGCGCCCTCTAGCGGCGGACTTCCTACCTTGACAATGTCATGTTCACTGAGCTAACAGCACATGTGATGCTGGAAATCCACTCCTCGTCTGACGGAAGGAGCCACAGTTCTTGACTTAATCGGGTAAAAACCTGAGAGCGTACAGCAACTCTGCAGTCGAAAACGGAATGGTTTTGACTGCAGCAGCAGCAGCAGCAGCAGCAGCAGCAGCAGCAGCAGCGGCGGTGCACTCGGCTTATAAACAACCACGAAGGCCAATTGCAGCTCAGGAACTAGATTAGGCCACTTATGGGCATCACCGTCGAAAAGTTTTTGACGGTGAAGGAACCCGGCGCGAAAGCAAAGAACCACGAGGACACAGCGCATCGCCTTCTGAAAATTCCACACGACCTGCTTTGAAGGCCGCTTTTCGATGCAAACTCCGCGGGGAACGAGAAACTGCTGCACGGCCTGCTCGGCGGGAAGGATACCACTGCGGGCAATGTCCTGCAATGTCATGAACAGCAACCCGCGGCTGTCATGATCTGACAATCACAAGTCTACGAAAGCCTGACTTATTAACAGTCGTCATTGGGATCTTCTTCGGATGTAAACCTCAAATGCCAGCACGACAGGTTGTAAGTTGTAACAGCTGTCAGCATGGAGGCTCCAGAACGTGAACACCACACCACTACGTGCACCATGAGCTGGGTTGACTCTGGTTGACTTTCTGGCTACTTCCAAACGGCACCATCTGGCCTTCCAACATCTCACATCTAGTCAAGCTCACATCCGAATTTTTGGATGCTCCTTCAACTGCTTTTCAAACTAGCAGTCTCAGCCTGCGAAGTGTATCCCACCAAAGCGCCCACATTGACCAGCAAGGACAGCAAGATAACAATGAAGCTTGCCTGCGCTCATTGCTACACAGCGGCAAACTTGCAATCTTTAACCCATCCAGCCAACATCCCCCTAGTGCACCATGATGCTTGTGAAGGCACGCTTAACCCAGCAAGAGCCTCGGCACAAAGGAGCAACCGCTGTACTGTACATGCTTGGCTGGCTGTGCCAGATTCCATCAGCTCGAAACTTATAGCCCTGACGACGACTCGGCTGAAAGTTACATGTTGTTGGGGCCATGTCCTCATGGACTGCTTCATGGACCTTCTGGTGCTAAAGCTTTGTGGTCTTCTGTTTGTTCACAGCGTGTGTTCTGCATGTTCGGTTGCGCTCCCTGTGAACCAAACAACGCACCGTGATGCTAAAATGCACTGCATGCTGACGTCATGGAAAAAACATGAGGAAAAGTTCCGATCCGCTTTCCTCATGGATGCATCTGTGAAGTTGCACTGCTTGCATGTGGCGGTGAGTTCATGGTATTCGTCCTGCAGATGGTCGTGTAAATAGGCCGATTTTGAAGTTTCATGTGTCAACGGAGCTCCACGCGGGCCTGCATCTCATTGTGTCCGTGCTTACCTACCGCATATCCGCTTTGGTTTGTGTACGTTCATCTTGTATGTTCGCTTGTATGTTCAAACTTATGTATGGCTGTGTATATTTCCCTAGTGCATTCAACTGAATCAATGAATCCATTCTAACATGTACTTCCCCGAATCAGTTTCGACATGCCTTGTTTGAACATTTTGGTTCATTGTGCGTCCTTGTTCATATTTGCTTGCATGTGTGAACCTGTGTGTCTATGCTCCACGGCCGGTTCGAACAACGAACAAGAACGCCCTTTTGAAAAAAACCTTTAAGTTCTTGACAAAGGTGGTGTAGCCAACAAAACGACCACAGCACAAAATCACACACGCACGTTAAGCTCGGCAACACCAAGGATCGTATTGCACTTGCCTTTCCGAAACCAGCCACGAAATGAATGTGATACCAGCTCCGAAAACGAACCGGACCACAGTTGCTTGTTCGTGGGAACCGAGCCAACAAGTAACGACAAAACAAATAAATTTTTACGATGAACAGCAACAACGCTTTTTGTAACAAGCGAAGATAGCGACAAAAAAACATTTGCACACAATGCACACAAAACCAAGCTGGTTTTTCTGGCAACCGTGACATGTTTTCGTTTTCCTAGTTGGCTTTTGATCTGTTGCCTGCGGTACAATTTTCGACGTCCAAATGTTTCAAGCCAAACAAACTAACTTGTTTCAATTTTTGTGGAGCAATGCAGCCAAATTAGCTGACCAGAACTGTGCAGTCCTGCACTTACAAATTTTGCTCGACAAGTTCCTACACTGCCTAGGGGGGCGAATGCCGGCCGGCGTTCCAGACGAAAGTCGGAAGATCCGGACGACTTGGGATGTTCCTTTTGCGCACAGCCCAAACACCCAGACTTGCAGCCTGCATTCCTTAACAGCACAAGTCGAACTGCGTTCCACAATGGTTGCGTGGAAGAAAATCGAAAAACACTTTTCTGACTTCTGACAGGTCCATTTTATTTGAAATCTTCTTTTTGAATGTGTGTACGGATATTTTTTTGTTCTCTGTTTTTCTTTTTCAAAGCCCCTCAAGCTTTTGTGCTTTCTTTCGTGGACTTTATATATATGTATGGGGCCACTTATGGTAACCTTTCCAAACGCAAAATAATGTCCACTACAGCCGCTTTTGCAGCATGGTCACTACAATGTCACTACGGAGTCACTACAATGTCACTACAACGTCACTACAAAGCAGCCGAAACAGCCTCTTCGACCAAGGTCGGAATTCCGACTTTGCTAAAAAGTTTCACATCGAGCTACGTCTTCGAGTTTGTTTTTCGCACGTTTTCTGTCACAAAACGGCTTTTTCACAATTGAAACAAGTCAATACTGACTCAATAATGATTCAATAATGACTCAACATTGACTCAATAATGCAACAATAATTGTTGCTACAAAGATGACTGAAGACTCGACAAGACTCCACAAAGACTGCAGTCTTCATCGTGAAAGACTCCACGAAGACTGAGTGTCTGTCCGAGTCTTTACGCGGTCACTACGCGGTCATTACGGAGTCACCACGCGGCCACTACGCGGTCACTACGGGGTCACTACGTGGTCACTACGAGGTCACTACGCGGTCACTACGCGGTCACTACGCGGTCACTACGCGGTCACTACGAGGTCACTACGCTTCCACAATCAGCAAGACCCTAGCACTTGTTTAAGTGTAAAAATCTGAATCAAGCCCCAGTGTAAAAAGCAGGCGACTGAAGCTCCTCGACTCCAGCCCATTTGCAGAGTCAGGTATACTGGTTGGACAGTACCATCAAATGGCTGAGCACATCCAAGCTGCCCGCGGCCGAGTCACGTCTGCTTCTGTAAGACGGTCACCACACCTGTACCTCTCTCTTGTATCTGGTTTTTCAAACCGCGTTTTGTTTCAGCGTAGTCTCTGGCTGTTTCGTTGATGGTGTAAG